ATCAAAGCGAAAAAAAACGAATAGGATCAAAGTAATTGTACATTGTACAATAAAATTAAATCAGCAAGTCTTGGCATGATGTTTCGATAAAAAGTGTCAGTACATAGTTATTAACGGATGAATCAGCTATTGAAATAATGGAATCTAATACTTGCTAATGAATTCAATATTATTAAATAATTGCTTATTAATCCTAATATCAACTGATAACTTAACCTTAAAACTTAATGTACAATAAACAAAAATTAATTTTTCGGAAGAAACATACGAGAGATGCACAAGATATGAACTGTTGAAAACACGTGAAATAATTATGGAGAGAACGTGAATATTATATCGATAAAAACAAGTCCGTACATTTAGAGAATAAGATTACGAAAACTAGCGCGTGTTTTTCTAGGTTAGAGTCAAAGAAATGTTACCTCTTCGAAATTTATTTGACAGCTAACTGATTTGACAGTTACTTAAATCTGAGTTACCTGTTCAAACAAGTGAAATTGAGTTATTTTATGAAAGTACACGTAATTCCAATCAAGAACAGTGTTTTCTTATAAAAGTATGAAATGCAAAACCACCGACACGCACGCTGAAGACGAGCTAGTTAATTCAACTTTTGAAATGCAATGAAATGTTACAATAAAATGGGAGTTTTTTATTGTGCACGTTGGTTCCACATACTGGTGCTTTTTGAATACATATTTCTCACGAGACTACAAAGGATGTGTTAACAATTTCATGCTACATATATGTATATTGTATGTATGCACATGTGTATGTATACTTTGTATGTATAAAATATTATATAAAACATTCTTATAAAAAATATGAAATATGCAATTTTTATATCCTCTCAATCAATTTTTATTAGTAACACCGAAATAATTTTAACATTTTTTTAATCTCTTCCACTATAATTAGTATGAATTTGCCAAGATTTAAAAAAATATATATTCACGTTCACAATATTCTTCAGATTTATAGAATATATACAGTGTAAAAGATAGAAATAGAAGTGTAAAAATATATTTCATAATTATTGTATAAATCATTTTACTTAATTTTATGAAATGATGATACACACAAAGCAAATGTTATTGTACTTTCGGAACGCATCTACCTCCTCCTTCGAGATTTTACAGCACTGGACTACTTTAGGAACACATTGTCCGTGTCATATGATCGTCATTAAGAGAAGACACCTTCGTCAGTAGGCGTTAACTCCTTGAAAAATCCAATTCGAGACAGATATCGAAAGTAATTCAGAAAATCTTGATTATAAACGAAATAAGAATTTCTAAAACTTCAAAATGGCACTGAGCGATGCAGATGTACAGAAGCAGGTACGAAACTATTTAAATTCAGTTATTCACACAATTCCGATGAGCATTGATTTTAAGTTATTTTTGAATTTTATTCTATATATTGTTACTTCACTAAAATACTTGTTTTCAATAGCTCCTCTTGTCAAAATTAATTTTTCTGTGCTCGTCTATCTTTTTCTAATATGGAAAATATTCAACAATTTTACTTTTCTTTTAATATAGATTTTTCAGTGCTATCCATATAATTGTATCTTATCATAATACACATCTTGCATTATATTAGTTCTTTCGTTTTAGATGAATTACAATTTATTATTTTCTTTTTGAGAATTAAATATTTTCTGCATTGTTTTTCCATAGATCGCAATTTTTGTTCTTGTGACCTTAAATACTCTTGAATATATTGTATTTTGTGAGAAATTATATTGATGTTTTTATAATATATTAACTGATGATATTAGTTAATGATTAATTTACTGAGAATTCAATAAAATTATTTGCAATTACATTATAATTTTATTTAAAAAATTTTACGTGAAATTATATATTGTTAATATTAAATAAAAATTTAAATATCTTTGAAATTTTCCTTATAATTAATTTTATTTCAATACTTAAAAGTGATTAAAATATTTCTTGCAATTTTATATTTTTAGATTAATCATATGATGGCCTTTATTGAACAAGAGGCAAATGAGAAGGCAGAAGAAATTGATGCTAAAGCAGAGGAAGAATTTAATATTGAAAAAGGTCGCTTGGTTCAGCAACAAAGATTAAAAATCATGGAATACTATGAGAAAAAGGAAAAACAAGTTGAACTACAAAAAAAGATGTATGTTTAACATAAAGAATAATTTTGACATTTTACAATATATGTATATATTTAAGTAAGATAAAATGTTCTGTTGTTATTTATAAAATTTGTTGTACAGTCAGTCATCAAATATGCTGAACCAGGCACGTTTGAAAGTTTTGAAAGTAAGAGAAGATCATGTTCGTAATGTATTAGATGAAGCTAGGAAGAGATTAGGAGAAGTAACCAAAGATGCACGATACAGGGACATTTTGAAGTTATTAATTGTGCAAGGCCTATTTCAGGTATGCTTATATATAATTTTTTAATCATTTAATGTTGTCAGACACAAAGAAATATTCATACATTCCTAATATTCAGCTGACAGAAAGCCATGTTACTGTCCGTGTACGTCAAGTGGATCTTCCTTTGGTTGAATCACTTATTGACAATGTCCAGGATGCTTATAAACAAGCAACAATGAAAGATGTAACAGTTAAGATTGATCAAGATAATTTTATCTCAGCTGACAGTTGTGGTGGTGTTGATCTATTTGCAGCAAGAGGTATTTTTTTATCAAATTTCTTCCTAAACTTATACCATTTCACTTCAAAAGTATATAAAAAATGTATCTTTTTACAGGACGTATAAAAGTCAGCAACACTTTGGAAACACGATTAGAATTAATTGCAGCGCAATTAATACCAGAAATACGTGGTTCTCTGTTTGGAAGCAATCCCAATCGCAAGTTCACTGATTAAAAAAATGCCTTTCTCATTTTCTCTTTTCTCTTCTTTTCATTCTTTTTTCCTTCCTAACAAAAACATTCCCTTCTTTAGAAAGCTAAAATGACTGCAGAATTCGTTATGTAGAAAATGTAGAATCTGTTGTTGACATTGTTGGAAAAAAGAGAGGAAGTGAAATTGTGAAATATATAAAAATATGCGCGTGCGAGCGCGCGCATGCACATATATATACATATAAATATAATATACATATACCTATGAAGTATTTTAATGTGTATGAACTTTTAAATTTTTTAAGAATTTCCTTTATTTCAATTAAATTTATTTTTATCATTTAGAAATGTAGCCATTGTTAACTGTTGTGGTGAGTATAATTGTTCTTAGACAAATTTAAATCTTGTAAAAAATATATATATATCAAATCGTTATTTTACGTTTTCTTTCTTCAGACAAATCTCTTTCATATTGTAACAGATTTAATATGTCTTTATAACTATAAAATAGTAAATAACATTAGGGGTGGGCGGGTAAGCGACATTTCGGGTTCGGGTCAAGTCCCGAAAGTTTGTGATACTCGCATACATTGAAGTCTCATCGGGTAGTGGTAACAGATTTTATGGTTACTAACAGGGTTACAGTACCTGACTCTGTAGCTGAGTATCACAAACTTGCGGGTCCCGACCCGAGGTTCTGGTACCCGAAAATGTCGGGTACCTACCTACCCTTAAATAACATCACTATATTATATCATTAAATTATGAATTGTTTAATATCACTTCTTTAAAAAAAAAAACAATATTTATTTACGTAACCAGTTAATTACAAATAAAAATTAAGTTGTAACATTGAGACTTGTATACAAATTTAACAGTAAAATAGAGACTATTACAACTACAATTACTAAAATTATCTATCACAGGACGCAGTATAAATATCCTACTGTATGTAAATAACATTCAAAACCTTGTTTGCTAGATTCCCGTAAAATGGTTGATTTATTCTTAATTTAAGTATTTACTTTATTATATATTGTTGTAAATACATAATTTCAGTCATTTTTAAACTTTAATGCAGATAAATTTCCCACTTTTATAAATTTTCTTTTATATAAAATCTTTAAAATATTTTTATAGAATGTTTTTCTTAATATTAAAGTTGCCTTGACCATTTTTGTTGTTGCTTGAAAGCTGATTTGAAAACAATTACCTTTTTCGAAGTAGTGAACCCATGAATAATATATTGACAAATATAAGACTTAAAATAATTAAGAATTTTATAGATTATTATTCTTTCTTATTATTGTATGTTTCATACCTCCATATACATCTGACAACTTCAAAAAATGTTGTGTATTAGCTTTTTTAGATGGACTGTGCCTTCATATCATTTGTAACATTTTCATTTGTTTTTAAAATCTCAGAATTTTCATTAGTATTTCTATAACTACTGTCATTAGAGGAAGATTTTTCTTCGGTTAAAGAAGTTACTTCATTTTCCTTCCGTTTCTTTAATTGTCCTATAACCTTAATATGGTTATAAGGAATGAGGCCAACATTTGTATTGTCAGTAGCTCTGCACCATCCTGGCAAATTTTTAGGTTGTAGAGCTTGAGGTGCAAGATAAAGTTTTTGACCAACTCTTATACTTAATTCTTCACTATTTGATGCAGTAAAGTCATACAATGCTGATGCAACAAATACTGGTTGGTCATATTGGTACCAATCTTTTGGATCCTTACCTATAATATGTATAAAAAAATTTATTACATTATATATATAAAATAGAAATTTTTATTTTTTAATAATAAAAAAGTAGGCTCTAGTTGTCATACCTTTTACTTGCACATTTTTAATACTATTTGTAATTTTATGAATTACATAAGGTATTAAAAAAAAGACACTAAAGAGAAAAAGACCAGACCAGAAAGAAGAATTATTAACATTTCCATTTCCAATTTTTGCTATAGATTTTTCCCACAATTCATCATTCAGAGAATTTTCACTTTGAAAACCTGAAGAGAAGTGTACAATATATATGCTAAAATATTTTAATAGTATAAAAATTATTTTTATTAATCTTACCAGCAGTGCATATAATTTTCTTATATAACCATTTTAAAAATCTAATCAAAGCAAAAGTATTAAACAATTGACTTATAGTTGAACGTAACTTTCCAACATTTTCCGCAACATTTATAATTGCCTTAAACGAATTTGTTAAAGTAAAATATGTTGATTCCAAAAGCATTGTCATGGATGAAAATGTTTGCAGTACTGTTTCAATTAAATGAAATGTTGGTCTAGTACTTTCTTCGAAGTACTGAAAGAATCTGTAACAATAAATAATTATAAACAAAAAATCTATATAATATGAACAAATAGCTTTCTTAAGTTACTAATTTCTTTTTTTTTTATTACACTAAAACTACAATGATAAAAGAAAATTAAAACATGTAAGCAATTATAATACATAAATTTTAGTAACTTTTGGTTTAAAATTATGATTTACCTATTTTCAACGTCACCGCTAGGATTACCAAAAGATCCATAATTATTATAATTCGAATATGGACTATAACCATATGAACTATATCCACCATAAGTACTAGGTCCTCTGTATTGACTTCCAAATCCATATCCACTATAATAGTTGGACCCATACGTTCTATAATCATTTAAACCAGAATAATTTTGAACTAGTTGACGAGGTGGTATTGGTGGTGGATTTCCTGATTGATTGCTTGCAGCAGCAAATGGTGCTGAAGCATTTGATAAACTGTAAATAATTTTATTATTATTTATGATAATTAAGCAAAGAGTAATCAAAATTGTAAGGAAACACATTTTTTATGGAATACATAATTATTAAAATGGTTTACAAACGATAATTATTATTTTAGAACTTATTATTTTGTTAATAACACATTCTTTAATGATGTATTCATACGAGTCGAGTATTATACAGCTGTCTTATCTTTTTAAGTTTATATTACTGTTGCCTTTCACTAAGTCATCGTTTTGTTATAAATTATACCTGGATGTAAACTGCGGGACATTTCTTAACTGATTTCCAGTAATATCAGTCAATCTTTCTGGTGCCATTGTATGTTATGACTTGTCACTAATTTCCTTAATCAGACGTCCTGTACAAAGTTCATAACCCCTCTACAAACGTGGAAAAAACTTCATCTGCATTTCGTGCGAATTGTAAATACACATGAATACACATGCAATGCTTGAACTTTGAAGATTACTACATATATACATATCACCACAGACTTAAAATCCGTACAGACATTGTATGCATTGCTGTTTTCTGTCTCAATGTCTAAATTACCGACTCTGTAGAAAATACTGTGGTACGATAGAGAACTTTACCTAAATACAACGGTTCTTAGCTGTGCTATCTAAGAACTGTAGCATTTCAAGAGCGTCAGAGAAAGACTCACGTTCGCCTTCTCTCTTTTTACACCCGGAGTTATCCGCCCGAAATGATCCAAAGCGTCGAGCTCGTGACATGCGGATAGCGAGGTAGGGATGATGTGTAGCGACGATAACTTGACACTCCCGTCTTCGATTTAGCATTACTGAGATAGTCTACGAGCAGACCCCAAGATATCGAAAGTGCATCACTCCACCGCAGACGGCGTTGAAATAGGAAATCCTCAAATCTTACTGTACATACATCACTGCACAGAGGTCTCTTAAGTCAATTTTAATCTATGCCTTAGTTCAGAGGAGTAGTTCCTTTCTTGTTTGATATCGTGTGGCGTCGTAAGGTAATGTTTTTATTCGTTCATTCAAATCCAAAAATATCCCAAATTATATTAAACATCCATATATTTTATACTATTCTAATTTATTAAATAAATTTTTGCAAGTTTTCTATACCTATTTTACTAATATTTTTTCTTCTTTAATAGTCAATATGGGGCGCCGACCAGCAAGATGGTATGTGATGAAATATTTATATCTTGAATTTTATTATAGCATTAGGGAAACACATTAAAATATTTCATAATTTACCGTTTTTTAATGATACGTGTAAAAGTTTCATATATTTACTTTATTTTATAAACGATGAGTTAGGTTAGAAACGTTCGTTTGACTTATATTAGTTCTTATTTTGCCTAGTCTGAAATATTTATTTTCTTTATTATAGTTATCGATATTGTAAGAACAAGCCGTATCCAAAATCAAGATTCTGTCGTGGTGTACCGGACCCAAAGATTCGCATCTTCGATCTTGGGAAAAAGAAAGCTTCAGTGGAAGATTTTCCATTATGTGTGCATTTAGTGTCCGATGAATATGAGCAACTTAGTTCAGAAGCACTTGAAGCAGGACGTATTTGTGCGAATAAATATATGGTGAAAAATGCTGGAAAGGATCAGTTCCATATTCGTATGAGACTTCATCCATTCCATGTTATTCGCATCAACAAAATGTTATCGTGTGCTGGAGCTGATAGGTGCGTATATGATATTAAATTAATTAAAACACATCATTTTTCCTATAATTGGAAAAAGATTAAAAAATTAGTTGCTTGTAACTGATTTTGGTAAAATTTTGTTTTTTGCTTGCAAGGCTCCAAACTGGAATGAGAGGAGCTTTTGGTAAACCACAAGGTACTGTAGCTAGGGTACATATCGGGCAACCTATAATGAGTGTACGCTCATCAGACCGTCATAAGGCTGCTGTTGTCGAAGCACTGCGTCGTGCCAAATTTAAGTTCCCTGGTCGTCAGAAAATTTATGTTTCAAAGAAATGGGGATTTACAAAATACGATCGTGCTGAATATGAAGAACTTAAAGTAGCTGGTCGCCTTGCTCCAGATGGTTGCAATGTTAAATACTTGCCTGAGCATGGTCCTTTGGATGAATGGAAGAAATTCAGGAAGATTCTTGCTGCTGCGTAATGAATAAATAATCTTTTTGACTTCAATTTCATTAAAGAAATTATACACAAACACGTGGCATTAATTTTATTCTATACTTAACATCTTTGGAACGGATGACTGCTTTTGGCACTATCAATAAATTTAAAGCTGCAAGAGAAATATCAGGAAATCTATATTAAAGACTTCATGTGGCGAGGTAAACTGGAAGATTAACATAAAAACAATCACTACAATATTCAAATTATCAGGACCGTTCCGAATATGTTACTATCCTTTGACATACTAGTTCCATTAATCCTTACACTTATTCAATAAGA